TTTCAATTTCATCAGGGGCCTCCCGATCATCAGCTGTTTCAGGCTGCCGGGATTGCTATAGTTTAGCCTCTGCAAGACCCATTTTCCCCATTTGCTTCAAGGAGGTAAATTGCTGGGAGGCAGAGGCCAAAGGGTGGGCGCCGGTGGGGGGGGGGGCTACATTCGATATAAAAGACATACCCAAATTTTCACCCTCTTTTAGGGGGGGAAAGGTGCGTCTTATACTCTGAAAAATACAGTAAGTGAGTCCGGCTTCCCCGTTGATTTGGCTGGTCAGGGGAATCAACTGCGACCGTCGCGAGTCTAAACCAGATGCCAAGCGCCTGGATTTGGATCCCACAAATCGTGGGGACGTTGCAACGGTTGTTAAGTGTGAAAAACTGTCCTAAGTCCCCTCTGGTCAGTGCCGTTGTAACTCTGAACTAAACGAACAGTCGTTAAGTTGAGGACTATTTGTCCGGGTCTGCCTGGCCCAGGAGGGATTTGCGAGCTTGCAGTGAGATTTTTCACAAATCAAGAAAGGATTTCCTCTCCTAGCACCGACTGCCTGGATCTCGTTAGAAATGGGGGGGAAACCCGAAATTGCTTCTGCACAAATATTGGTAAGGGGTCGTTGCAAAGCGCAGGTTCCCCCAAGACGAAGAAGCAGGAAAATCTCATCTAGGTTTCCTCAAGTCTCGCCATCTCGAAGACGCTTGGCCCTGGAAAACTCATTATTATTGCTTTTAAAACCCACCAGGCAGGTGGCATCTCAAGCTGGCAGAACCCAATTCAAAAAAAAAAAAAACACAGGAATGAGAAAATGAGCATATTGCTCATCCGGTGTGTCCGGTGGCTGAAAACGGACCGCAGGTTCCCGGTGGCAGAGCGATGCTGGGTGAAATCCCCTCTCGTTAAAATGCAATTAAAATGAAGGTCAGGACAGATCTGGTGTTAATTGTCTCTAACGAAGGCAATGTTAGGAAAGCACATTCGTTCTCCTTTTTTGAAACGGAGGCATTTTCTTAAAATCGAGTGTCATTAGAGCCAGCAAGGGACTCTGGTTGCGTTTGGCCTCCGTGCTCCAAAAGATGGGTCGTATTTCTCCAGCCTGCGGATTCGGGAAATCTCGTGCATTATTGCCGTAAAGAAGACTTTAGCGTATCTGGATATATTCTGAATTGAAACCCAGAGACGCCAAAGTTGTAAAACCAGAAGCAAGGTTTACATTTTCAGACTGAAATTAAATTGAAGGGCCTTTGGTTTTGTTAAGTGCGCACTGTTTTGAGGGTTTTTTTTGGGGGGGGGGTGTCAAATATGTCTCTTTATTTGGAAATAGATCACGAGGTCGGATTATAGAGTAATAAAACATATTAGTATGTTTGCCACTTTAAGTTACTTATAAGGTAAACATAAAGGTTTCCTTCGCACATATGTGCTAGTGGTTCCTGACTCTAGCGGGCGGTGCTCATCTCTGTTTCAAAGCCGAAGAGCCAGCGCTGTCCGAAGACNGCTGAAGTAGTCTGCAGTGCTGCATTTAACCGCTGCGCCACCTCGGCTCTGCCATGCCCACCAAGCCACGCCCACCGAGCCACGCCAACAAAACCGGTAATAAAAAAAATGTTGAATTTTACCACCGAACTCAACCCAACCCAAACTCAACTCAACCCGTCCAATCCAATTTGGTAACGGAGTCCTTATCGCAAGGCAAACCTTCCATGAATATTTTGGTCTGCCGTCAAACTGGGGTCAGATCAAATGGCCACCTTAGTAGCAGAAGCTTCGTGTTATTCCTAAATTTATATTCCATCCTTGATCAAACAAAGCCACAAAGCTCTTGACTGAATTGAAATAACATCGCCAACCAAGCCTCTGCAGGCTTCCCCCCAACACCCCCACCCATTAATTGTGCAAAATACTGGTCCTTAAAACGGCTCCCTCCAAAACACGAACGGTTTATGCCGTTCTCTCCCCTGACCTCTCCTTTCCTTGCAACCCGGAGCTCAGATGCAAAACAGGAGGGGGGTGAGCTGCATAATTCATTCCAGAGGTTAAGTTCCATCAAGCTCTCTCAGAGGGGAATTTCAGATTTGGGGCACTTCGATTTTTTTATTTTTTAAAGAAAAGAAAAGAAATAAGCAACAGTCCCTTTTTTTCTTTTTTCTTTTTAAAGCCGCATCTATAATGGCTACGATATTAAATATTTAAAATCTCCATGCATATTAAAAGTTCTTCGGTCGCCGTGAGCACCACAGGGCAAGCGAAAGGCTGCAAACAGCTGGGCTGTCAGGAGGTCAGGATACTGCAAACAAAATTCGAAAAACAGGGACAGACTCAGTTTCCTGCCCCCACACACACCCATACTCCGCACGTCGTCATCCCCGCCTCTTCCCCCCCCCAATCTCTGGTCTGTGCAAAATGCCCACGTCTCTCTTGGATACCAGAAACATTTCAAGCATCTTTTCCATCGGCGTCCAAAAATGACCTTTTCTAAAACAAAACACCCAGAAAAGAATTAAGTTGGGTTTCATAGGAGCCGAGGGGGCGCAGTGGTTAGAGTGCAGTACTGCAGGCTACTTCTGCTGACTGCCGGCTGCCTGCAATTTTGCAGTTCAAATCTCACCAGGCTCAAGGTGGACTCAGCCTTCCATCCTTCCGAGGTGGGTAAAATGAGGATCCGGATTGTTGTTGGGGGCGATATGCTGACTCTGTAAACCGCTTAGAGAGGGATGAAAGCCCTATGAAGTGGTATATAAGTCTAACTGCTATTGCTATTGCTAATCTCACCGGCTCAGGGTTGACTCAGCCTTCCATCCTTCCGAGGTGGGTAAAAAGAGGACCCGGATTGTTGTTGGGGGCGATATGCTGACTCTGTAAACCGCTTAGAGAGGGATGAAAGCCCTATGAAGTGGTATATAAGTCTAACTGCTATTGCTATTGCTAATCTCACCGGCTCAGGGTTGACTCAGCCTTCCATCCTTCCGAGGTGGGTAAAAAGAGGACCCGGATTGTTGTTGGGGGCGATATGCTGACTCTGTAAACCGCTTAGAGAGGGATGAAAGCCCTATGAAGTGGTATATAAGTCTAACTGCTATTGCTATTGCTATTGAGAGAGTTAGGTTGGCCCCAGGAGTCACACCTGCTATAGCAGGTATGAATTGTTAACCCATCTGACCTGCTTTGGAATCACCTGCACCATCTCCTAGATCAAAGGTGTCCAACTTTGGGAACTTTTAAGAGCTGTGGACTTCAACTCCCAACTTTTAAGACTTGTGGACTTCAATTCCCAGAATTTCCATGCTGGCTGGGGAATTCTGGGAGCTGAAGTCCACAAACTCTTTAAAGTGGGCAGTTGAAGTCCACGACTCTTAAAAAGTTGTCAAGGTTGGACACCTCTGATCTACACGTTCTCCTTCTTCCCCTTTACTATCATCTCCCGCTGAAGGAAGCTGCTGAGATGAGGCCTCCAGGCACCTTCGCTGAGACCCACCCATTGGGAACCAGCACTGTTAACTGTCTTGGTTGGGTTATTTTTAGGTAGTGAGGACATGTCATCCATGGGAGGAGAGAGAAAAAATACAAATAGGGAAGCAAGAGAAGAGTTTGCTTGGGGGAGGGGTTGTGTGTGTGTGTGTGGGGGGGTCGTTTCTAGAAGTGTTTGAAACCATTTTTCCCCCCCACTAAGGAAGTCGGAAATGAAATGGGGACTAGGAGCCTTCGGGGCCTCTGAGACTGAGTTGAAAAGGAGAAACCAGGAAGGGAAACATCTGGCCTGGAGCCTCACTGGCTCTTCCAGAGCCCGTCTAAACGGAACTGCCATCTTCTGTCACGGCACAAATCCCCCCCACGTCTGTCTTGGCAGCTCCTGGGCAGAAGAGCCGCCGTTGCCACCATCCCCGGAAAGAGACGCTTTGTCAAACGGAGGGGGCCGATCAGCTGTGGAAAAAATCCCAGGCTCGCAGCCCACCAGCCGCTTCCCTTCATCAAAAGGGCAGCAGAAGCGCGGCTGATGCCTCCCTGCGGGGAGACCGGCCTTGGCTCAGAACCGCCGCCTGTTCCATCTGGCTGCTCGCTGGAAGGACGAGTGGGCTTATCCGCCGACGCCAAGGGAGGACGGCGAGCGTGCAATTAACAGCACTTGGCAGCCATTATCAAAGGTCGGGCACGGGAAGATTGGGCCTCCTCTGGCTTCTCCTGAACTGAAAGAGCAGTTGGGTTGGTTTTTTTTTCCCCCTTTTCTTTTTTTTTCCGACTCGCAATTCACAGCTGAGAAGGCAGGAAGTGAGCCTTATGGACTGAGAGGGAAGAGGGAGTGGGGAAGGGAAGGGAAAGGGAGAAAGGCAATGGGATGGGTTGGGGAGGGAAGGGAAAGAGGAGGAGAAGAGAGGAGAAGAAAGGAAAGGAAGAGGAAAGGAAAGAAAAGTAAGGGAGGGAGAGGAGAGGAGAAGGAAGGAAAGGAAGAGAGGGGAGAGGAGGGGAGGGAAGGAGAGGGGAAAAGAAAGGAAATGGGAGGGAAGGAAAGGAAGGGAGGGGAGGGAAAGGGGAGGAGAGGAAAGGAAGAGGAAAGGAAAGAAAAAGGGAGGGAGAGGAGGAAAGGAAATGAGAGGAGAGGAGAAGGAAGGAAAGGAAGAGAGGGGAGGGGAGAGGAGGAGAGGAAAGAAGGGAGAGGAGAAGAGGGGAGGGAAGGAGAGAGGAAAAGAAAGGAAATGGGAGGGAAGGAAAGGAGGAGAGGGAAAGGGGAGGAGAGGAGAGGAAAGGAAGAGGAAAGGAAAGAAAAGAAAAAGAAGGGAGGGAGAGGAGGGAAGGAAAGGAAGAGAGGGGAGAGGAGGAAAGGAAGGGGAGGGGAGAGGAGAGGAGAGGAAAGGGAGAGGAGGGGAGGGGAGGAGAGGGGAAAAGAAAGGAAATGGGAGGGGAGGGAAACAAAGCAACTATGCTTCTGCTTTCGGTGGTTTTGAAGAATGTACCCTCTTCCAAATTCAGAGAGACGTGAACATTGCTGAAACTAAAGTGGGAGGATTGGTGATGGCCCGATGCGAAGAGTCTGGTGTAGCTGCACATGGCTTTGTGCGGCCTGGGGCAAGAGTTTCAATTCAGCTCTGCATTCCCAGAGGCCCCCGATCAGGCGCTCGAAACTCACCACGTCATTTAACGTTCGAGATGGTTTACCACCTCCCGGACTGTCGCTATCAGAGTCTCGTTCTCCTGTGGGTTGGCCAGGATCAGGTGGTGCAGGCGGTTCATGTAGGAATCAATCGTGTCTAAGGTGGGGATCTCCCCGCTCCCTGGAAAACAGAAAGAGAAGAGACGCCCACTTGGCCACCGCCTTCCCAAGGAACGGGGAGCCTCTCTGCAGGGTTAGAGAAGGAGCAGAAGGGAAGGACTCCCGGGGCCTCTACTGGGCAACCAGACAAGGGTGCAATCCTTGTCTGGTTCGGCCCAGTTCGGTCGAACCAGCAGGGAACGATTTTGTATTTGTATTTGTATTTGTAAGTTTATTTATAGGCCGCCCTTTTCCCTGAGGGGACTCAGGGCGGCTTACAACTTGTGGGGAAGGGAATACAGACAGTGGCATATAAAAACAATACGTAATTAAAAATAGAAACAACATTCATCATTCGGGTGGGGACGAATTACAATCTTTAACCCCAGGCCTGACGGGATAGCCAGGTCTTGAGGGCTATGCGAAAGGTCTGGAGGGTACGAATCTCCACGGGGAGATCGTTCCAAAGGGTCGGAGCTACTACTGAAAAGGCTCTCCTCCGCGTGGTTGCCAGTCGACACTGACTGGCGGATGGGACTCGGAGGAGTTGGCATCAGTTCTCTGAACCAGTGGCAAAAAAATCCCGGGTGGCCCCTCTCACGCCTACCTGGTAGGCATGGAAGAAGAAGAAACCTACCAGAAGGTCACTTTATTCCAAAGGTGACCTTGAAAACATTTATAACATCCATCGTCCGTTGGGTGATGGCATCTAAGCTCACCTGGCAGCCCCGTTCAGTTGGGGGGGGGGGTGAGGGGGAAGAGGACGCGTCACCTGGAGAACTATTTCTAAACCTTCTCAAAGGGTCGCTCCAAGTTTGAAACATCAAAGAACCCAAGCGTGAAAAGAAAGATGGTTGGACATAACCATGCGAAGGAGGAGGCACGCCTACTAAAGGCCAATGTAAGAGCTGTGGTGGCGCAGTGGTCAGAATGCGGTATTGCAGGCTCTAATTCTGCTGACTGCCAGCAGTTCGGGTCAGTTCAGTTTCAGTTCAGTTTATTATAT